TACAAAATCATCGACTACATTCCCTATGCTGTGCCTTTTATTCCCATGACTTATTCATTCTACAACTGGAAACCTGTACCTCCCACTCCTCTTCTCCCATTTTGCCCATCCCCGCACCCCTCCCATCTGGCAACCATCCGTTTGTTCTCTTATTTATGGGTCTGTCTGCTTTAAAACATCAGTAATATTCTCAACAAAATCCACAATCATCCCTCATCAGTTTCATTCAGGTCTGTGTAATTAGTTTTGTTCCACTCGACCTTGCAGCAGTGGTCTCACTAACCTGTCTACTTATCAACTTGAGTTCTTGAAATCCTGACTCAGTTCATTGATATGGTCTCAGAGTCATTTCAGCTATACCATAAAAAGCCTGTACTCAATATTTGGCAAAATCATTTTCCATGGGGCTCTGAGAAAGCCGTTCTTTGTTGAAGATGAAGCACTTTAGCTTGTACCTGATTGCAAGTGCTCTCAGGGACACATCAGACGAAAACACAACAAAACCATCTGTAAATAGCAAAGGACGTACAAAAGCTTTGGTTAACTTGCTATGATCATTTTCAAAAATGAAAGATCTGATGAGAATTCATTACAAGAACAATAATGCAACTGACAAGGACATGTAGTCGTTTCTGTGGCATGCAAAACAATATAAAAGTCAATCCCAAAAAAGTTTTTAGACAGAATATCCATAAACATAATGATTAACCCTATTTCCAAAGAAGAGAGGGTATTATATCTAATTTATAAAAATGCATGAACATAATCGTTATAGAGACAAAAAGCCTTAAATATAATCTATAATAATCCTGATATATATATACATATATATATATATATATATATATATATATACACACACACACCAAGCATACAGTTAGAATATCCCCAAAATATATCAAGAATATCAAGTAAAGAGGTTCAGTTAACTGGAGTAGGTCTTAAACATCTATATATTTATAAAATCCCATAGGTAAATACTGAGAATCCCCAATTGAAAATAATGACCTAGCAGATGTGAGATTCACAATAAAGAAGAAAAGTTGAAACCAAGTTAACATTAAAAAAATTTTTAAATTACCACTGAAAACACTCTACTGTAGTCATCTAAAATCTGGCAAAGCAGCATAATGACTCTGACAAATAGAAACAAATCATGGCCAGTGAGGACATTGATGGATCTTTAGGAACTTCCTAGACAATATACAATTTCTGAAATATTTATATTAATAACAATTTGCCTATGCCAGTTTAACCTTGGGAAAGCTGAGCATCTCTTCTGATTTGGCAACTCTTCCTGTGCATCTCATCAATAGTAACATAACAAATAAACCCAATTATTTCTAGCACGTCTATTTATATAAGGTGAAAGAACAAATCTTTTGTGATTTTCCAGGGCCTTCTGGGATTCGATTAAGATAAGATGATGGATCACTGAAAAATGCTACTTGGTTCTCTATTTAACCAAAACCGTGATAAAAGATTTTTAACATAAACATAGGAGCTAATATGACCATAAAGAACCTCATCTCGGGGCGCCTGGGTGGCTCAGTCAGTTAAACGACCGGCTCTTGGTTTTGGCTCAGGTCATGCTCTCAGAGTCCTGCGATCAAGCCCCGCATTGGGGTCCATTGTTCAGCGCGGTCTGCTTGTCCCTTTCCCTCTGCTCTCCGCCCCCACCAGCCAGCCCTCAGGCTCTCACTCTCCAGCTGTCTCAAACAAATAAATAAATAAATCTTACAAAAAAGGAAAAAAAGAACCTCATCTCTTTCCTAAGTAAGAAGACTTTGCTTTCTTAAATAATCAAGGCCATAAGAAAGTCAACATAAGCCATATAAGGTTATTCTAGAAAGACACAAAATCTTTTTTATGGAGGAAGATTACTTAGAGAGTGAAGCAAAACCTTTACAGCCTGTTATTGAGGATTACTTAGTGAAGCAAAACCTTTATAGCCTGTTATTAAGAGAAGGCCAATAATGCAAAAAAAATTACATTTTAACCAAGAAAAAACCAAACTCTAGCTCTGCAGCAGCATATAATTTTTTTTAGTATTTTATTTATTTGACAGAGAGGGACACAGCAAGAGAGGGAACACAAGCAGGGGGAGTGGGAGAGGGAGAAACAGGCTTCCCGCTGAGCAGAGAGCCCGATGCGGGGCTCGATCCCAGGACGCTGGGATCATGACCTGAGCCGAAGGCAGACACTTAATGACTGAGCCACCCAGGTGCCCCAGCAGCATATAATTTTTGATACTGAAGTTCTTTTTGGAAATCTGATAAATAAGCCCATCAAACCTTAGCCAACTTTGATCTCAACAAATAAAATTCCCTTTCTGTGAACCTTCTGCCATTTCCTATATGCAAACACATCCTTTATAGTACAATTTCTATAAGTGGTCAAAAAGAACATGTTCATTAACAGACCCAAATACATGAGTTTTTCTCTGTAGCATGTAAAAATAAAGAAGCAAAAGCATATAAACCCAAAATTATGCTTATAATTAATGCATTCTCTTAGTTAAAAATGATATAGGTATCTAATGGATATCCATTAACTCAATTTAACATCAGCCCAAAGTTTTCAGTTACCTAAAGATCTTGTAAATTATTTTCAAGCTGACGTACTACAAAACATAATTACTGTTGAAATAAAGTTCGTTAGAATAATGATTAAATTAGGCTAAACAAATTTACATTTGTCATAGTCTCAAACATTTAGTAGAAGTAATGTTAGCTCATTTAATTAGTAAACCTGTATAAATTTAGGAAGAATATACTCAAGTAGAACAAAAATCTACATGTATATTATACTTAACACTGATAAATTAGAAAAGACATAGCTAATTTTAGTAAACCAAATTTATTAAATTAGTCTTGTCTGCCAAAGATTTACCTAAATTATGCCAACTTGAATTCTTAAAACATTTGAGTTTGTTTTTAAAGGAATATTCTTTTAGTACATTAAGTCTTCAAAGTTTAATTTCCTTATTTTCTGGGAATTTTAGGAATATTCTATTTATCTAAGCACTTATTTCTATACTCCAGTGAGACTAGAGCTCCTTTAAGAACATATTAGGAAAATATTACATGCAAAGGCCTTTCTGAATTACAGACATCATCATTATTAATATTATCTAAGCTATTGTCATAGGGAGGATGATCGTTAACAAATAACATCTCAGAGGAAAGGAAGGGGGCCAGGAGGTTTTTTAGAGGCAGGTATTCTTCTTTATATACCATATTATTTCTGCTTGCCTTGTTTGTTTGTTTTTTGGTTTTGTCTTTCTGTGCTTATGACTTGTCTCCCTAACTTAATTGTAGGCTCTGAGGGGAAAAAGTATGTCCTGTATTGATTTGTATTTCTCCTCCTCCCCCTCTCCCTCCTCTTTACTTATTTATTTTTTATTGAAGTATAATTGACATGCAATGTCCTATTAGTTTCAGGTATACATGGTAGTGATTCAACATTTCTATGCACTACGAAATGATGCCCACAATAAGTCCGGTTACAATCTGTCACCATACCAAGTTATTACAGTATTGTGGACTATATTCCCTATGCTGTACACTCCTCTTTTTGCCTAACACTTAACGTCCTGTCTTACCTATGCAAAAGTTATTGATGTTTCTCTTTTTTGTTGTGTTAAGACAGTAGACTTATAAAATGTAAGCCTTTCATGATTGGAAAACAGCATCCAGGAACTTTCAAAACTCTTATTTACAGAGAATTCGTGGGTGGACCAATCTTTTTCTCATATTGGTTTCTTCCCGGGTGCATATCTAAGGCCAAGCTATTTTTTGCTAGATGATCACTGAGTTCACTTTCATGAGAAAAATCAATGCTCAGTGATATTTTTTACCAACTTCCTGCTCGCCAATGTACCTGTCTCATTGATTCAGCCTGTGAACCAGGGTATTGTTCAGAATATGAAACGTTATTATGGAAGAGATTTCATGAAGAAGTTTATGCATTGTGGACTAGAAAGATCTTACAATCTCATAGTACTGAAGATGCTATTTTAAATGATGCTCATGCTTAGAATTCTATTTCAAGTCAAATATCAGGAAGAACTTGGGGAAGAAATGGGCTGGATATTTAAAGTGTCTGTGGAAGCTGAAGAGATTGAAGCATTTAGGATGAGGCCTTAAAAATAAACTATAATACATTTTTGATGATAAAGAGTGCTCTTTTACATCTACTCAACAAGACTTATTGGCAACTTAATAAAAAGAGTAGGCTAATAAGAGTAGGTCCCTCTTAATAGAGGAGTAGGTTAATGTTGACAAGAGGTTAAAGTGACACAGTATCACCAATAGCAGAAAAGTTAAAGGACACCAGTGAAGTCACTGAAGACAATTTTAGTGAAGGAAACAGTAACTTTAGAGGAGGCTGCTTCAGTCTCCCTTAATAATCACATTTACTGAAAGGCAACCACATGCCGCCCAGGAGGCTATGCATTTGTACATTTTACACTCAGCTTTTATGAGCAACAAGTGCAAAAACTTAAAAAAGAAAGAAACAACTTCTTGGTTATGTCATACGATCAGTACAGAGACTCCAATCTCCATCATCTTCTACATCTGGCTGAGCAAGATGGTCTTCAAGGCCCCTTCTAGATTCTAGCTTTCTTAAAGTCCTGTAAGTGATGATCAGCGTTCATCATGATGACCCCAGGGTACTACAAGTTTTCAAAATCATTCCTGAATCATTAGAGAAAAGCTCTGTTTTGTCCAATATAGTTATAATATTCTAATTCTTTGAAAATCTGGGATCCTAAATTGGAAAATGTTACCAGTTGACCTGAATATGTAGTTTACCAAAACACTCCATCCCCTGATCGTTCTGAGCCATTTACTATATAATCTGTGTAGGTAGATTTTTGTTTTTCTTAAAAGAAGGGGGAATTGTAAGGGAATAGATCTCAAGGGTTAGAGCCTTGGCTGTAAAGACTCCCTTGGATTGCTTTTGGCTGTTGGCTGTAGCAACTTGTTTTCTTACAGAGATGAAGCATCTGGTTTTTGTTATCTCAATGATGCTGTCCTGGGAATATTACGATTGCGACGGAAATTTGACCGTATTCTCTATGTGGATTTGGATCTGCACCATGGAGATGGTAAGCCCTTCACTTTCAAAGGTGCTTTGCTGCTAGGCCAGAAGGTTTTTATCAGTAAAGCTGCTTCTAGGCGACTGGTAAAAGGAGAAATGCCTGTTGCAATTGAAATTCTTCTAGAATCCTAAAGTAAGGTAGAAGAGAGATTCTTTTAAGTGACGTAGTTCCTCCTGTGCTGACCAAGATGCTTTAAAATACCAGGTTCCTGTCATTTCCCCTCCCCTCTCCTCCACCAGCAAAGTTCTCCAGGAGAGAACGGTAAGAAGTAGAAATCTTGTCCAGTGCATACTCAGCGCTCAGTCACCTCCCTCAGGGCACTTGCATAGATTCTAAGTGAAATCGGCAGTTACAGCTGACAGCCTTGTTGCTGCTCTTAAGATTGAATGAGTGTGTGATGGACTAACACTGAATTTTTCGCCCATAGGGATACCAACTCATGTAGTGATCAGAATCTGTCCCACTTTCTTTGTATTGCTAAAATATTTATTGCTGCACAAACTCAGGGCACCTTGTGTAACTTTTTTTTTTTAAGATTTTATTTTATTTATTTGACAGAGAGAGACACAGCAAGAGAGGGAACACAAGCAGGGGGAGTGGGACAGGGAGAAGCAGACTCCCCGCTGAGCAGGGAGCCCGATGCGGGGCTCGATCCCAGGACCCTGGGATCATGACCCGAGCCAAAGGCAGACGCTAAACGACTGAGCCACCCAGGCGCCCCCACCTAGTGTAACTTTTAACAGCAGCAGAATCTTGATTTGCCTTACGCAATTAATGCCCCCTTATAGGATTTCACTGGAAGGATGCTACTCAAGCCCTCCTACGTACTTTCCATCTAGAATGTAGAGCTTCAGTGACAGTTACCCACTTGCTGTTTCTTTAATAAATCCTGTGTGTGACACATGTTTCCGATGACCTAGGAACACTTATCCAGTAAAATTAATTAAGGGTATCCCCTCCTCTCCTCCCCACCAGTGATGGCTGCTTCCCTGTTTCCAGAGATTTTGGGAGACAAACTAACATAATCAAGGCATAAGTGAGGAAAAGAATAGTATATGACAGGGGATAGGATCAGCTCTCCTGCCAAAACAGAAAAAGAAGGAAGAAATTGTGGGGGAGACCTCCCCAAGGAGTTCATCTAGATGGATGCTTCCATGGAATGGTGACAGAAAATTAAAGGTAACAGAGAAAAGAGTTAAAACAACCAACTTACCACTTTGAGAACCACATCCACTGAGTATCTGAATCCTCAGCCAACGCGAAACAGCCTTGCTCAAAAACCTTCAGAGGCTCCTTATTACCTGTAACGAGGGTAACATTTGGCCCATGGCTTGTTTTTGTATGGCCAGCAATTTAAGAATTTTTTTTTTACATTCTTACAAGGTCATAAAGAAAAAAAAAAACGTAGTAGAGACCATGTAGGCTTGGCAAAGCCTAAAATATTTGCCATGTAGCCCCTTGGTCGGCTAACCCTTGGCCTGTAACACTGGTTCTCAAATTCGCATATGTAGCATGGTGACCCCAGGAAGCTTGTTTTAAAATGCAGATTCCTGGGCCATGTCCACCAGATACTCAGATTCAGTAGGTCCGGTCACGAAATGCAAGAAGCTGCATTTTAGCTGCAGTCCAGCCAGTCCACAGGCCACACTTTAAAAAGCAGTGCTCTGCAAGGTAAAGTCTGCACTCTTTGCCCTGTCTTTTGAGGCCTGCCTGAAAGAGACCTTGCCTCCTCTCGCCAGTCTTCTCACTCACTACCTGCTGTCCAGGCTACTCGACTCAGTGATCCCCAGACATGTCTCAGTGCTCCCACCGTGCCCCCCCACCCCGACTTTGCATTACTCTTTCCTAACTTAGTTTTGCTTTTTCCTCCAAGTTCTCCCCAGGAGTTCAAGTTCCAACAGTAGCACATTTGCCCTAACCACTCCAGCCCAAGTGTTCTCTCCCCTCCTCAAGTCCTGTATTGTTTATATCGCTGACTTGCTATTTAATTATATATTGTCTTGTTAGTTAAATCTTTAATGTGTCTATGTCTTCTCCTCCCATAGAAACTTTCAGTTCCTCCAGAGCAGAGATCAAGTTGTTTACTTCTTTCTGTCCTGCACAATGGCTTGAACAAACAGAACTATGCATATAGCAGTGGTTCAGTAAAATATTTGTTGAATGAATGATTATGAAATTCAAACTGTTAGTCTCAGAGCTCAAGAATAGAATCAACTCTAATTGAACCACGTAAGAATGAAATGACTGTCACCTGAAACCGTTCTTTCCATTTGCAATGTTATTTCTACACCATTTAGAGTTTCCTGTTTTAGCCCAACTTTTATGGTGTGTTTCATTTCAGTTTATTTCCCCCTCTTCAGCACCTCCCTTCCAGTGACCTCTGCCCTGCCTCCAAACTCTTACACATTTGGTTTATTTTAAATCTCCCATGATTCCATAACTAGCATTCTGTGGTGGCTTCGCTAGCACTCTTAGCCTGTCCTCACTTTCTTTCACCTCCTTTTGTTTACCTAACCACTGTTCTCTTTCACACTCAGCCCCACACCGTCCACCTATCTGTCTGTGTCCCTTTTTTAAAGTGTGATTTGCTAACAATACCTAATGGCATTTCCCACGAGAGGAGATACAAATAGCTACTAAACATACGATAAGGTCCTCAACACTCTAACACTCAGAGAAATGCAAACCAAACAAGATCCTTTTTTCTGCCTAAGTTTAAAAAGAATAACACCCATTGACAGTCAGGGTGTGAGAAAATGGGAACCCTCATACACCACCGATAGAAGGATAAATTGGTACCACCTTTGTGGATCAAGAAATAATCAGGATTTTTATGAATTGTCCTTGTTTATACTTCAGTTTCTAAGTTAAAATGCGATTTTAATGTTTTGTTTTGTTTTATTTTGTTTACTTAATGCCTGTGCCTGGAGCCTTTAACTGGTTTTAACTGCCTCCCTGGGGCAAAACATAAGGCTTGGGAAATTCAAACATACCTGTGATACACAAATACAGTTAATATTTTTCTAAGGTCTCTTTTGGCCTCTAATGAAGACTGAAAGCATTAAGTAAACACAGAGACAGTTTCTTTATTTGAAGTATAGAAGAGGATAGTACATGAATTTGCTAATAGTCCTTCCATTTTACAAATGGACTATCTGAATATAGCATGACAATATGTGATTCTGGGAGGAAAGGTGTGGAGGTGGGCAGTGCATTTATCTGAAATAAGTAGTGGCTTGTAAGAGTTACATCTTCCATCTCCCAAACCTGTATTCATTTTCTGCCTCTGTTTAAATGGAAAGGAGACACCTTTCTAGAAAAGCACCACCCCCCCCAACCTTCTTTCTTCAAGCTTTAAAACTTTGTTATAAAGGTACTATTAAGGGATGCACCAGGACTGTTAGCCTTCCTTGTTTTGGGGAGAAAGATATACCCTAAGCTGCTTAGACTTTGGGTGATCGGCACTTATAACCAAATCTATATCATAGAGAAGCACTTTATAATTAGGTTTTCACTACATGATGCCTAATGTTTGTATTAGTCATATATTGCAGAGGATTGCCACATTGTACTTCTTTGGGGGAAAAAAAATCCCAAGAATTTAACTAGAACCACTGAAACAAAACAGATCATAAAACTTCCAAGATGGTGCCAGTTCCCTATTGATAATGCTTCGATTCTGAGCTCGAGCCCTCCACACCTTTTAGAAGAGGTTTTTTGTTTTGTTTCTTTTTTTAAAAAGATTTTATTTATTTATTTTTGTGTGAGAGAGAGAGAGAGAGCACGAGCAGGGGGAGGGGTAGAGGGAGAAGCGGACTCCCCGCCGAGCAGGGAGCCCAATGCGGGGCTCAATCCCAGGACCCCGGGATCATGACCTGAGCCGAAGGCAGCCGCTTAACCGTCTGAGCCCCCCAGGCGTCCTAGAAGAGGTTGTCTAAGGGAGCCTGGACATCCCGTTGCTTGGAAAGGGCAAGTCAAGTTATAACTTGCCGTGCATTTGAAAAGGAACCCCAAAACTTCACTTGGGACCAGAGCTCTACCTCATCCTATAACAACAGAGATCAAAGACTGGAGGGTCTTGTTCCTTTTATTCCTCAGCTTGTTAGCTTTATTATTGCTATCCTCCCTCTTACTTCCCACAGCTGCTTCCTAGCATTTCAGTTGTTGCAAACGGGAGTTGCATATATAAAGTGATTCTTCTGCTGTTTTTTTTTTTTTTTCCTCTGGTAGGTGTAGAAGATGCCTTCAGTTTCACCTCCAAAGTCATGACAGTGTCCCTGCACAAATTCTCCCCGGGATTTTTCCCAGGCAAGTAATCTGTGTGCTCAGTATTACATTTGAAGAAGACATGCTACAGCTCTTCTATACATGCTTATGTTTCATATTTAGATAGTTCCATGCTGTTGGTACTTTATTGGTGTCTCTGTGCAACATTTTAACACAGGTCATTTCAGGCGACAATGATAGGAGGAATGAACTACTGTTTCTCCAGATGACTTTTATGGACTGTCAATAGACAGCTCACTTATACTTCCTGTCCTATCAGATACCCTTTGTAACTCCTAACGTCCTGATAAGTGCAATGATATACTAATATTATATCAATCCAAGACATATGGAAAGTCAAGCAAAGCAGTTCACCTTTTTCTGTTCTTTAATTTGATCTAGCCAAGTGGAAACTAAGGCTTTTCCATTTTCTTATGGTTTTCCTCTTTCCCCAACATTGTTTACAGCAGTTACTTCTCTGTATTATTTTTCTTAATTTCATTCCCTCAGAAATCATCGCTAATCCAGGACCGTTCTTCTACTTGACCTTTTACTGTCCTGAAGTCCTATCAGAGAATCCTTTAAGTTTTCTAATGCTCGTGTTCTTAAAACTGTTCCTGGTGCTCCTCTCTTTCACAGGAACAGGTGACGTGTCTGATGTTGGCCTAGGGAAGGGGCGGTACTACAGTGTAAATGTGCCCATTCAGGACGGCATACAGGATGAGAAGTATTACCACATCTGTGAAAGGTATGGCAGTAACACTGGGCCAGTAACAAGTGGATTGCATTTCTGTAGGATGAAAGGACCCCCAATCTTACAGAATTCTTGTTGTCAAGGAACAATTTGGGAAGAAAAAAAAAAAGAGCCACTGTATACCTATATAGCTTTTGTACACTGATCGTTGTACTTAATTGATCAGGTTGCCATCACTTGTTTAGGAGAGCTGAGCGTTTAGAACAGAGCCACACTCTTGGTTTGATCTTACCTGCTGCCCCATCTGATTAAGGTCATTCCAAGAGCAGAGCTTCTGAGCTGGCCTGGGTTATCCCTTGTCTGCTACTTTCTTAGCCAAAACCTGCATGTATTTCATTCCATTAGCCTGAGAGGGTTCATTTCCGCTTCCCATTATGGAGATCTGCTTCCACCCACTGGTGTGAATATTAGAAAGTTCTTCATTACGAGTTCTTGAGTTCTGTCCTTTGCGTTTCAATTGGGGTCAGAAATCTGTTCTTTTTACACTGTGGTTAAGGATCAAATTACAGCCGCTTCTAGGAAGACAGTTTGGTGCCAAAGAGGACGAGTAGACCATTGGGACTGAAAAGCCCTACAGAATGGGGTGGGGGGGAGGGGTAAACTCATATGCATAAAAATTGCGATTGGTCAGGTACAAATTCACTGCTGACATCGGCAGTAGAGAAAGTAAGTCTGACTAGAAGTCAGCAAGTCAACATTACTTAAGGTAAGTAATGGGGATGGAGGTGCTTTTGATTCCTAGCCCACTCAGCTCAGATTTCGCCCACCCTCTGGTGGAAACGGGGACTCCCCAAAGGAGCCCATGTTGGCCATCATCACCAGCGGTTGTATAAACAAAGCAGAAGTGTTAAAAAATAAAAACTTGATGCTTCAAAGGTGCCTCTTAGCTCAAGAGATTTGGCAAGCCAAGTCATCATGCAGCAGCTCTAGCCTCTTCATGGTCTTGATCATGTCCCCTGGCTACCTCTGTATTGTCAGACTGAAAAGGCCTTTATTTTTGGAGCCTGCCATTGATGGTTTTAATTGCCTTTCTTTGTTCCCCTCAGGCTCTGTTCTGTCCTTCTTGAGATGTGCAGATCAGAGCTGCTTATGTAACTTTACCAATGAAGATACCCTGTGGTTCTGTGTAAAAGGAGAATTATTTTGTTTTTCTTTTAATCCCCTTCTCGAGAGTGTTCAACATTTTGCTGTCCTTTTTTTTTTTTTTTACCATGGCAAGAAACTCGGTTTTTCTCTTCAGTGCTCTCTCCACAGGGTTTCCTAGAGCTTGCTTTTTCCTGGGCCTTAATTGAAAAGTCAGCACCCATCATCCTGCAGGGAGAGTTTGTAGTACCTGGCCTTCCCTAAATAAATTACCTTACACATGCCCCTATTGAAGCCCATCTGCCAATCATAAAACCCTCTGGAGATTTACCTTTATCCCCCATCATTTTGGCATTTCACTGACTAGAAAAGCTGAGTATTCTCTGCCGACCTGGGGAGTGCCCACTCCCAAGGAAATCTACTACTCACCCTCCTTCGGTGAGCATAATGTCTGTTTCTCCCTTATATTTTCTCTCTCTCTCTCTCTCTCTAAACCAGTTCCTACTACAGGACAAAAAAAAAATGTTTAATCCCATAGTAATTCCTGTTTCAATATAGATTCGGTATCAGACTTAATTAGAAGCATTTAAAAAGTGAATTTAGTGGACACCTGGGTGGCTCAGTTGGTTGGGCGTCTACCTTCAGCTCAGGTCATGATCCCAGGGGCCTGGGATCGAGCCCCGCATTGGGTTCCCTACTCGGTGGGGAGCCTGCTTCTTCCTCTCCCTCTACCATTCCCTCCACTTGTGCTCTCTGGCTATCTCTCTGTCAAATAAATAAATAAAATCTTTTTTAAAATAAATAATAAAAATAAAATAAATAATAAATAAAAAGTGAATTTAGCCCCAAAGAAAAGATCCACAGGTGATCACATATATGATTTCCCTTTACAGAAATCATGTTGCCGCCCCCACCCTAGTGTACAGGAGGCCAGCACTGATTAAAGATTCTCCTAGCTTGCTTACTAAAGTACCAGACACTCATCACCTTATAGTTCCCAGGGCCCCTTTTGCGTCATGGAGGCACACCACCAATCTACACAGTGATCATCCAGAATAACAGGTTCCAGGTTTTCATGAGAGGTACAATAATTGTCCCCTTTGATTTCTTTCAGAAGTCAAGTCTGGTCAAGGCGTTATGTGAAGGCACTTCTGATTCCAAGGGTGCCAGGAAGGCTTCCTGACCCAAACACCTCTCCCATCTGTTGCCTGAAATTCCTTTAACAGGAAATAATAGTTTTATTCTACAATGAGAAATAGGTTTTTAAAGTGGAATTTTGCCACAACCCCTCCTCCTAACTTTCACTCTGCCAGAGACGTATGCTTTCTCCATAGCAAGTTTTGAAAGGCTTAAGAGCACGAGCACCCTGAGCATTCAGAGGAGCAAGAATTGGGTTAGTGGAGCAGTAGAGGGAAAGAGGCACAAAAAACCAAAACAATCTTTGCCAACTAAATAGTTTTGCAGAGGTTCAGCCCTGGTAACTATATCACTTAGGTTCAGTCATTATGTTTTTGACTGCTTGTAGTTTGTTGCTGGGGAGCAGAGTCTCTTGCCCTTTTTCCATTATGCTCGCTGACCCATCTGCCTACCTCAAAAGATATAGTCAACACAGGAATGGCTTACTCATGTAAAAAAGTCGTGCAGTATATCTGCTGTCTCCTTTTAATCCTTCGTGTTCCATGAGCCCACTGATTTTCTGGCTCGCTCCTTACCTCTGGTAAATAAAAGATCTCTTATTACTGGTTCACTTAAAAGATGCTCTAATTTTCGTTTGCCACTCAATTTCTAGTTTGCTCCTGAACTGCCTCTCCCTGTGGGATTCATGAGTCCTTTTTCCTTTACTATCCTTTCTTTCTGTATGGCTTTTTCCTCTGCTATAGCATTTTTTACTTTGCCAGCTAGTCTGACTTAATGATTTCATCTTAAGGTTGAGCACACCCTCTTTTTTTTTTTTTAAGATTTTATTTATTTGAGAGAAAGAGAGAGAGGGAGAGAGAGCACAAGCGGGAGGAGGGGCAGAGGGAGAAGGAGAAGCAGACTCCCCACTGAGCAGGGAGCCTGATGTGGGGCTCAATCCCAGGACCCCAGGATCATGACCTGAGCCGAAGGCAGACACTTAACCGACTGAGTCACCCAGGCACCCCGAGCACACCCTCTTAATTTAATAAAAAAAACGGGGGGTGGGGGGCTTAGGGTTTTTTTTTTTTTAATAGACTAGATAAGGAATCTACATAGACATTTTCAGCACCAAAAGACCTTGGGTTCCATCTTATATGCAAGATAATCTCAGTCAGAGATACCTAGGTCATTCAATACTCATTTGGAAGGGCAAGGGTCACTGATTCCCAAAAGCTTCCCATAATTTTCATGGGAGCTACTAGAGTTGGTATTATAAGTAGAACCCTGTTTTAACCAGCATAAAGGAATATCAACATCATTCTTGTAAGCACACCTCCTCCTTCAGATAGAAGCTGTGGGCCCAGTAGAGAGACGATGGTTATATTCTTGATTTACATGAAAGCCCACTCCCCCTCCTTGGCCACATGCACACATACACACAAAGTTTGCTGGAAGAGGAGGGCTGTTTTGCCAAAGGGAGGGTTTTGCTGGTTTCCAAGCTATGTCATCTGAAGGAGGAAATACTGCTCTGCCTATGTTTAACTTGTTCTTGCTCTCTAACTGCATCTGAATGCAATGAGATAGTCTTAATAATGTTTAAGCTATTACCTAAAACATTGCATTGATGACTTTGGGAGCATTTATAGTTAAAGACTATGGGACAGAAGGACAATGACACGTACTTCCTTGCTGTGGGTTCAAGAGAGGTTTTGATAAATAGTAGGGTACTGCTCTGAAACCTCAAATCTTGCAAAATGACCAAACCACTTGCCCACTGTGAACTGTTATGACATATGTGTAGTTTGAAGAAGAAATTCAGGGTTGTACTTAAACTTCTTAGTTTTTATCCTACCTATCATTTTATAGCTCTAACAGCCAAAAAACAGCCTTTACTAAATATCCAATTAGTATATACCTCATAGGAAAGCTATATATATATATAATATATATATACATATATATTATATATATATATATAGTGTGTGTATGGATACAAAATATATTGAAGTTGACAGTTCAACATTTTGGAAAAAACACCCTCACATTTTATTAACAATATTCAACTATTAACTTGGTAAGATAATTAAGTACAGACACTGCATAAATATTTCACCGAAAGAAAAACACATTGCTAAACAAACTTCACAATGAACAGGACTAATGAAAGGCTCTATTAAACAGGACTTTTCATGCAATAGCAGTCTTTATATCCACATATGCAAAACTTTGCTCATAAGAGCTATCAACCCAACCAAGGAAATAATCTCATTCTGCTGAACTAGGGTTCCTAATAGTAGTTTATTAAAGTAAAAATCTACCTGTATTCAGTCCTTGGCCTATTTACCTTGAGTCCTGTGGCTTATCTTCTGTAGCTCAAAATTGAAAGAAACCTTTCTTACCCCTCAAAGACCACTGACCTAAAGAAAAATTTAAAGATTCCTGAAGTGAAAAAAAAAAACCCTTAATATTTTCCTCCTTTCTTTTTTTTTTAAGATTTTTTTTTTATTTGTTTATTTGAGACAGAGAGAATGAGAGAGACAGAGAGCACATGAGAGGGGGGAGGGTCAGAGGGAGAAGCAGGCTCCCTGCCGAGCAGGGAGCCCGATGCGGGACTCGATCCCGGGACTCCAGGATCATGACCTGAGCCGAAGGCAGTCGCTTAACCAACTGAGCCACCCAGGCGCCCCATCCTCCTTTCTTTTATGAGAGAAATATTATACTACTCTATTGTAAATAATTTTTTATAACTCTTCAACTGCTAACTGCAAATGTTAATTGTCCTGTGCATGGGC